GCCACAGGGTCCTCCTTGCCATTCATTCCTCTGACACATGAGGCACAGTCCTGCCTCAGGACCTTTGCACATGCTGTTTCCCCCACCTGGAAGGCTCCTACCTGGACTGTCATGTTTCATGTCTTTGCTCATTTCCCCTCCTGCAGGAGACCTTCCCTGATGACCCCCCAGCTAAAAGGATGACCTTCTAGGGATTTCCGCCTCCTCAAACTGTTTTAAATTTTCTCAGAACACTTTGCTCAACTTGCCATTTTATTACACGTTTGTTTGCCTGTTTCACATCCAGCGTTGCTGCAAATCAGAAGCCTGACAAGAGCTGAGCCCAGGTCACTGCCAGGTCCCCAGCGCTGTTCACAGGGCTGGCACATAGTAGACACTCAGTAACTGTTGAACAACCAAATGAATCCCTCCCTTGCAGGGTTAGATAAGAGCTATTCACAAGTTCTGGTGCTCTGCGCTTGGGAAGAGGAATCATCTAAGTGCTTGGCTGCTAACCATCAGGTCGGCGGTTCAAATCCACCAGTGCCTCTGGGGGATAAAAGGCCTGGAGATCTGCTCCCAGTTCTACTCTGTCCTATAGGGTCACTATGAGTTGGAATCGACTCGATGGCACACAACAATAACAAGGAACCCTGACTCTGGTGCCAGATGGGCCTGGGTTCAAATATGAGCTCTGCCACTTCCCAGCCATGTGAAGGGGGCACTGGAGTCAGGACTTTGATGGATGTGTAGGAGTTCAGGATATGTGCTCAGGAGGTGAATAAGGTAGATGCTCAATCATGATTGTTGAGTCACTGAATAAGTGCAGGAGAAAGAGTTCATCCAAGAATCCTTTTGGTTTGAGAATTGGGGTCCCATGCCCCTGGTTTGCTGCCCTGAACTGTCAGGGTGGGAGGACCACAGAGAGGACAATGCACAGTTGTCCAGTACATATGGACCCAATAAGGGCTTGAATCCAAGTGTCTACCTCCCAGCTGCCACTGCCCTCTTTGGGCCGAGCTGGGGTTTCTGGGAAAGGCTGGTCTTGGCCCCCACCCCTTCCATCTCGGGTCACCTGGGCAATGGATGCACCTTCGCCTCCCAACCCATCAGGCTGCAGTGTCCTTTTCTGCTCACTCTACAGAATGAGAACCTCGGGCCCCAAGGGCAGCATACAGATGGTGAATGGACGCCAATGTCACCCAGTCTCATTCCATCTCAGGGTCTGCCCAGCAATGGGGGCCTCGGTGCTGGGCCTCAGGGTTGAGGGGGTACAACAGAGCTGGACTCAGAGACTCCCAGCCCCAGGTGGTTCATGCTGGGTCTGGCAGAGCCTGGGGAAAGCAGGAAATGCCGCCTGAAGGAGGGGACACTGGAGCCAGGGCGTTGAGGATGTGTAGGGGTTTGGGACGATTGTCACCATCCAGCTTGCCCTGGGTATCTCCTTTGCCCGTTCAGCCATGACGGCATTGGGAGGTGCCTGGGCAGAAGGGGCTCTGGTTGTTGCAGGTCTTCTGAGACAAAGAAAGGGATGGGTCCCGCCTCTCACCCAGCCTAACCTCCTGGGGAGGACGGGGCAGCAGGTCCGTGACCCAGTTACTGGCTGTTTATCTCCCTGCCTCCATGACCAGTTGGGGTCACCAGTGACGTGGGCGCCCGGCCCTGCCTGCCTCCCTGGCACTGTTCTCCAGAGAAGAGAGAAGGGGGCCTGGGGAGGGAGACTCAGAGAGGGAGTGGGGCGCAAAGCAGAGGGGCCCAGAAGAGAAAAGGAACTCAGGGATAGAGGGTCTCAGAAGTGGGACCGGCTCAGAGGGAGGGAGGCTCAGGGGAAGAGGGGTCTGGGGGCCAGTCACCCGTCCCCCATCAGCTGATGCCCCAGCTGTGCCTTGCTAACTGCCTCTTATCTTGGGTGGCAGCCATGGTCCAACATTGACACCGGCTGTCCTGGCCCTATGCCCACCTGGCGCTCTCTCCCTGGGAAGTGACTTGTATCTTGATCAATACCCCCCAGCTGACCCGCTTCTCTGGCTCGACAGCCTGGGCTCTGGTCCCGGCTCTGCCGACCCGCTGTGTGACCCCAGGTGAGTTCCTCCCTGTCTCTGGGCCTGGCGTGTGGAGCAGCATCCTGGGCCAGGAAAAGCAGCCCTCAGCTTAGAGTGGGACTGGCTGGGGTGGGCTGCCTCAGTCCTCCTCGGCCTCAGGAGGTCAGCTGGGTGTGGGGGGGCTGTGGAAAAGGGCCCAAGCCCAGTCCCCGCCACAGCTGTTGTGGTGACTCACCCTTCGGGGGAACATTGGAGTAGGGAACTGGGCTGGCACGAGCCCCATCCTGCCGCACCCTGGTGAGGGCGGGTGGCTATTTTCAGAGCCCCAGTAATAGGTGAAATCTGATGTCGTCCCCTCGCACCCCAATGGCCGGAGGTGGCCCTGGGGAAAATGGAGCACAGAGCAGGGAGGGCATTCCAGGCGGGGGACACGGTGTGTGTCCAGGCCCGGAGGTGGGACTGACCCGGCCATGCCATCTAGAAAGCAGATGAGGAGTCTGGGTCCCTGAGACCCCAGCACCCTGGAGAACAGGCTGTTCTAGAAGAGGGGTTGATGGCCTTCATGGGGTCAGGGTCCTGGTTCTCCTCCTCATCCAGGCCCTGAGATCCTGGGGGCTTTGGCCAGGTCGCCGCACCGTCTTAGAGCCTTAGTTTTCCCTTTATGCAATGGGAAGCCAAACCTCAGGCCTTTTTCTGCCTCCCAGAAGGTTGCAAAGAACCAACATAATCGTAACCACAACACTATCAATAGCAACAAGAAGAATAATAGCATTGCTAACAGTAATAGTAAAAATAAAAACCAAAGCAAGCCCTGTTGCTGTGGAGTCGATTCCAACTCCTGGCAACCCCATATTGTGTCAGAGTAGAACTGTGCTCCGCAGGAGCTTCCTGGCTGTAACCTTTACGGAGAGGAGTCCCGGTGGCACAACAGTTAAGCTCGCGGCTGCTAACTGAAAGGTTGGCAGTTCGGACCCACCCAGAGATGCCTCGGAAGAAAGGCCTGGCGATGTGCTTCCGAAAGGCCACAGCCTTGAAAATCCTATGGAGCAGCTCTACCCTGCACACGTGGGGTCGCCAGGAGTTGAAAATGACTCGACAACAGCAACACACCTTTATAGAAGCAGATTGCCAGGCCTTTCTTTCATGGTGCCACGGGGTGGGTTAGAACTGCTCACCTTTAGGTTACTAAATGAGTGTGAACCATTTGCGCCCCCCCGGGGACCTTAACGATAATAGTAGCAGTAGTAATAATACAGCCCTTTGAGAGCTGGGAGGAGGAGAATGGGTGAGTAAGCTAGAAAGAGATGTCACCTTCCAAGGAGCCTGGCACCTATAGGAGCAAGAGCAGGGCGGTGGGGCTGAAGTGTTTCTTCTTTGCCTTTCTCCTGCAATTTCACACCACTTGAGGTTGATAGCCCAGGTCCTGGACCTCTGCAGCCTCAGTTTCCCTTGCTGAGCAATGGAGAGAAGGGGACAGGCCCTCCCTCACCCAGGGAAGGGGACCGGGGACTTGCCATAGCCCCACGTTGCTCTCCGAAGGACAGCCCAGCTGGGATGTGGTTGTTTGCGTGGGGAGGTCAGATGGGTACGGGTTCCAGTCCCAGCTCTGCCCCTTGGGGCTGCGTCTTAAGGCCTCAGCTTTGTCAGCTGTAAAATGGGTTTCGTGGCTGCTCTGCGACACAGAATGGGCGTGATTGGGGATGGTGAAGTTACAACTCTGGCTGGGTCTTGGAGCCTCCGTGGCCTTAATTTTCCTCCTGTGTAATGGGTCTGTGAGGGACAGGGCAGGACGAGCTGGCCCCAGGGGCCCCTCTCTCCAGCTCTGTAACTTCACGGCTAAGTGCCCCTTCTCTGGACTCAGTTTCCCTATCAGTACAGTGGGTTCGTGGACAGGGAAGTGAAAGCGGACAGGGTAGAAGATCTCTCTGGGGATCCTCCACTCCCCCACCCTTAATCCTGGTGCATTCTGATCTCTTGCCTTCCTGGGCCTCAGCTTTCCTGGCCCCTGCAGCAGATCTGAGGGACGGACCCCAAGCGCCAGTTCTCTGAGTCTGGCTCCTCCTATTCATTGAGCACGTACCGTGTGCTGGGCCCTGTTCCTGGTACTTGGGGACGCAGCAGCTCACACTCCAGTGCAAACAAAAAAAACCCCAAACCCGTTGCCGTAGTCAGTTGCAATTCCTGGCAACCCCATGTGTTACACAGTAGAACTGCTTCATAGGGTTTTGTTGGCTGTAATCTTTATGGAAACAGATTGCCAGGCCTTTCTTCCACGGCACCACTGGGTGGGTTCAAACCGCCAACCTTTTGGTTTGTAGCCAAGTATAAACCTTTTGCACCACCCAGGGACTTTCACTCTAGTGCAGGAGGTCTGAAAACTATGGCCCCTGGGCTGAATGCCCACCTCTTGCTTTTGTAAATAAAGTTTTATTGGCACACAGCCATCCTTTGTCTACAGCGGCTTTCAAGTTGAGTAGTTGGAACAGACACCGTATAGCCTGCAAAGCTAAAAGTATTCACTAGGTCCTTTACCAAAAAGAAGTTCACTGATGCTGGTTCTGGCAGGCAGAGAAGGGGTTCATGACATCCCATTCTCCCAACCTCAGTTTTCCCTTCTGTACAATGGGCCCTCCATCAACTTCCGCCCTGGATATACCTTCTTCCCCGGGGTCCTCAGCTTGCCCCATCTGCATATTGAGGTTTACGGTGGTCCTCCATGACCTTCTGTCTTGACCCATGCCTCCGACATAGTCCAAGCCTCAGTCTTCCCGACTGGGCAATGGGTTCTTGCATGAACTTCTGCTGGGTCCCCAGGTTGTAAGCGTGTGCAGTGACCCTCCCCCCCATCCACTTCTGCACAGCCCTCCCCACCCATGCAGTGGGTTTGCCTGGGGCCCCTGTGGCCTCAGCCTTCCAGCCTGGGCAGTGGGTCCGCGGTGCGTCCCGGAGCCTCCTGACCTCTCGCCTCTTCCCGCACAGGATGAGTTCCACCCGTTCATCGAGGCGCTGCTGCCTCACGTCCGCGCCTTCGCCTACACCTGGTTCAACCTGCAGGCGCGGAAGCGCAAGTACTTCAAGAAGCACGAGAAGCGGATGTCAAAGGACGAGGAGCGGGCGGTAAAGGACGAGCTGCTGGGCGAGAAGGCCGAGGTGAAGCAGAAGTGGGCGTCGCGGCTGCTGGCCAAGCTGCGCAAGGACATCCGGCCCGAGTGCCGCGAGGACTTCGTGCTGGCCATCACGGGCAAGAAGGCGCCGGGCTGCGTGCTCTCCAACCCCGACCAGAAGGGCAAGATGCGCCGCATCGACTGTCTGCGTCAGGCCGACAAGGTGTGGCGGCTCGACCTGGTCATGGTCATCCTCTTCAAGGGCATCCCGCTCGAGAGCACCGACGGCGAGCGCTTGGTCAAGGCGGCGCAGTGCGGCCACCCCGTGCTCTGCGTGCAGCCGCACCACATCGGCGTGGCGGTCAAGGAGCTCGACCTCTACCTGGCCTACTTCGTGCGCGAGCGAGGTGAGGGGCGTGGCGACGGGGCGGGGCGATGGGACGGGGGCGGAGCTCGACCTCTACCTGGCCTACCTCGTGCGCGAGCGAGGTGAGGGGCGGGGCGACGGGGCGGGGCGGGGCGGGGCGGGAGGCCGAGGTGGTGCAGGGGCCTGAAGGGGGAGACGTGGTGCAACGTAGAGTTCAGTGAGAGTCCGGTGGAGGAGGTGGAAGTGATGCAGGGGTCTGAGGGGGGAGATACGGTGCAATCTGCAGTCTGAAGGTGGAGGCAGGTGCCGTGTGGAGTCTGATGGGGGAGGCAAGTGCACGCGGGCATCTGATGGGAGAGGCAGGTGCTACGTGGAGTGTGACGGGGGTGGCAGGTACAACGCGGAGTCCCACGGGGGTGGCACGTGCAGTGTGGATTCCGATGGGGGAGGCAGGTGCAATCTGGAGTCTGACGGGCGAGGCAGGTGCAGTGTGGCATCCGACGGGGGAGACAGGTGCAACGTGGAGTCCGACGGGGGAGGCAGGTGCAATTTGGAGTCTGATGGGGGAGGCAGGTGCAATGTGGAGTCCGACGGGGGAGGCAGGTGCAATTTGGTGTCTGACGGGGGAGGCAGGTGCTGTGTGGAGTCTGACAGGGGAGACAGGTGCAATGTGGGGTCCGATGGGGGAGGAGATGCCACGCAGGGGCCTGATGGGGGAGATATTGTGCAAGGGGAGTTTGAGGGGGGAGGCAAGTGTGACGTGGGGGTCTGAAGGTAGAGGCAGAACTTAAGCTGAGGGGTCTGAGGAGGAAGGAAGTCAATGCAGGGACTCAAGGGTGGACAAGGGAGTCCAAGGGAGGAGGCAGGCACAATGTGGAGTCTGAGGGGGGAGGCATATACAATGTGGGAGCCTGAGGGGAGAGGCAGGTGCAACGTGGGGCTCTGAAGGTAGAGACAGAACCTGACCTGGGGTCTGAGGGGATGAGAAACTGCCCCAGAAGGTCTGAGGGACGCGGTGTGGCCATGTCAGGAACAGAAAGGAGGATGGTGGAGGGACAAGCAAGCGTGTCCTGGAGGCCTGCTCTTGGGATAATGTTGGAGGATCCTGGGCCCACGTCTGTCAACAATGCTTGCCCGACTCTCAGACAGCAGGCAGAGGCCTGACAAGTCACAAGTTTGTGCAGTTCTCTGGGCCTCAGTTTCCCCTCTCCAGCCCTTCCAGCTGGGTGTTTGCTTGCCCTAGGATCAGGGTGGGGAAATCCACGGTGGCTTCCTGGAAGAGGAGGCCCAGCTTGAACTGAGCTCTGGGGGATGGTGGGCAGTTGTGGGCTCGAGGGCATGCCAGGGGACAGTGGTCACCTGGGTAAAACTGTGGAGGCTGGATTTGCGGTCCAGCATCTTAGGGTCACCAGGTCCGACTTTGAGTGTCCGACTCTGACCTCAGTTTCCCCATCTGTCAAATGGGGGTTATCAGAGTCCCTGCCTCCACTGGGCTGCAGAGATTCGACAAGATCATGTGTGTAATGCATTGAGCCCCAGCCTGCCACCTGGACTGTCAGCTGTGACCATCTCCGTGTGGACAGAATCCAGTGCCCCCTGCAAAAACGAGCGGGCACAGCCACCTCCCCCAGCCACATCCACCCAGCCCCCCCGGCACATGCCCGAGGGCTGCCTGAGCTGATCAGACGGGTAAATGCCCAGCGCAGACCCACTTGTGGTTGCAAATCCAGCCCCCACCCCGGCAGACCCCACATGAACACACATGGAGGGGAGGCCAGGTGGCGAGGGGGCAGGGAGAGCTCTGGGCCGGCTGCCCAGGCTCCCAGCACAGACCTGTGTGACCTGGTCACATCGCTTCTCTGTGCTTCAGCTGCTTCATCAGTACAATGGGGGTAACAGCTGTGCCGCCTCCTAGTGTCCGTGTAAGATCGGGGGGCTCCCAGCCCTCGGTGTATGGGAGGGAGGCCAGGGACAGGGTGTTTCCCAGGGGAAAGTGTCACTGGGCCAGTCCTGCCCCCAGTCCTGACCTTGCTTCCTTGACTTTGACCTTGGCATCCGCCCCCACGTGCAGCACTCACCTCAGTGAGAGGGGCCAGAGGTGAAGCTGCGTTGAGGGGCATGCAGGCACGGGGTGGACAAGGTGGGTCAGTGGTGGGCAAGGGGAAGCGGCGGCCCTGGGGGCTGCGGGGGCCTCATTGCTATGCAGGACCAGGCCTCTCCCACCGCATCCATCCGCCGGCCCGCCCCACCCCCACCTCCTCGGCCACGGCGCTGAGCTGATAAAATTTTGAAGCGAGTTTTCTGCCCCTGTCAGCACAATCTCCGGCTGCCTCCCCTCCCCCACGCGGCCCCCTCCCCCCCTCACTCAGCAGGCAGCCCAGGCTTCCAGGCCTCCCCAGACACCTTCGTACGCGTCCGGCCGGCCGCCACGCCTCTGCCCCCCGGTCTAGCCAGCCTGCCCGCAAGCGGCCAAGGATGTTCAAGGCTTCGGCCTCCGCTGCTCCCAGCCTGCCCTGGCTGTCCAGGAAAATCCCTGCTGACTGTGCCCCACCCTGCCCCGGGCCTAGAGGCCCTAGCTTGCCAGGAGTGAGGGTCTTGGGGGGAGAGCTGGACCTGGATTCCAACCCCAGCTCTGCCGCTTGCTGGCTGGGCAGCCTGGGGCAAGTAGCTTAACCTCTCTGTGCTTCAGTTTTTTTCCCAGTAAAATGGGGAACTCAGAATAGGCCTCCTCAATTTGGGGGGGGACTGTGAGGGGCCCATGGTAAGTTGCTCAATAACCCTCTGGGGGCTGTGAGGACAGGCTTTGAGCACATGAGGAGGGCTCAGTTGACTGTTGTTACTAATGGTGTTCACGTCGTTGTTGTTATTAGGTGTTGTCAAGTCGATTTCCGACTCATAGCAACCCCATGTGACAGAGAGGTACTACCCTGTAGGGTTTTCTAGGCTGTAATCTCTATTGGAGCAGATTGCCAAGTTTTTCTCCTGTGGAGCCACTGGGGGGGTTCAAACCGTCAACCTTTCAGTTAGCACCTGAGAGCTTCACTGTTGCACCACCAGGGCTCCTTATCATCAGCATCATCAGGATTATAATTTCCCAAAAGCCCCAAGCCATGCTGTTCTCTCTGCCTGGAATGCCCTTCCGCATATGAAAAACTCCTACTCATCCTTCAAAACCCCAACTGCTAGATGCACTTTCTCTCTCCCCAGCATTCTTCTGGAGGCTCTGCATAGCTTAGCAATTCTTTTCCATTCTCACAGCAGCCCTACCCGTACTTGTTGCTGTCAAGTCGATTCTGACTCATAGCGACACCATACCTAGGAGGCAGGTACTGTTGTTGTACCCACTTTACAGATAAGGAAAACAGACTCAAAGAAAGGATGAGCCCTGCCTGAGGTCCCATAGCTGGGGAATTTGGACCCAAGCAGTTTCTCCCTCTCACTGACACCCACCCCCAGGCCTCCGCCCTCAGTAAAAGAAGGCGCTGAGGGACATCATGGCGTATGATGTGGGGCGCCCAGTAAGCATGGCTTGGCTACCTCCAGGGCTATAGTCTCTATTTTGGGACTCCAAAGGCTAAGGTCTTGTTCGGGGTCCCCAGGCTAAGGCTGCCCCCCTACCAGGCCCTCAGGCCAAGCTCCAGCTCCCCGACCTTTTCCCAGGACCCTCATCCACGTTTTGGGCCAGGGCGCAGTCTGTGTCCTGGAGCTGGCAGCTGGCAACCTGACAGCCGGAAGGATTGGCCACCACTTTGCCTCCTCCCACCGTGATGGTCCCCAGGGCTGGAGGGGTCCCAGCCCAGGTCACAACGCAGCATCTGGCTTTCATCAGCAATGCTGGGCGGCTGTGGCCCTGGGGTTGACAGGGAGGGTGCGATGGGGGTGGGGCTTTGTGGGCCTCTGGAGGGGGCTGGGCAGGGGTTGGGAGGGGCGGGGCATCCGTGGGCACCGCCTCCAATGTCAGAAGCAGGACAGATAATGGTGATCTATGTCAATGGATCAATGGGGAACCTCAGAGCCTCAAGACAGACAGAGACACACAAGGAGACAGGGAGACCCACACCCAGAGACACAGAGACACAGAGGCAAAGGGAGATGCAGAGAGATACAGAGACCCAGAGTCATGGAGACACCCAGAGAGACATAGGGAGATACGGAGAGACCCAGCAGACGCCTCCCCACACGCTGCCCTCCCTGGGGTCCTCCTGGACTGCGTCAAGTCTGCCTGAGGTGGACGCAGGGCAGGAGAGCTGTGCAGCCCACTCGTGGGTCCCTGGCGCCTGGCCAGGATGCCCCATGTCCTCAGACAAGGCCTGGCTCCCCTGGGCCTCAGCCTCCATCTCTCCCAGGGGACACTGGGTACACTGACAGGGTCACACCCCACTGGGGGTTCCCAGGCCTGCATCCTCAGGTTAATTGTTGGGGAGGGGGACCAGCTGTGCAGAGGTCCCCTTGGTTCAAGTCTGCCAGCACGTCAGAACTGATGCCATCTCCTGGGACAGAATTTGACCGCCCCAGATGTCCATCTCGCGCTGCCGCAGCCACAAGGGCGTGATTCCAGGCGCTGGACGCGGTGTGTGCCTGGGGGCGGTCCAGGGGACAGCTGGGGGACCATGATGGGGGTGACATGAGCTGCATTTTGGGGACCCCGAGTGCAACAGTTGTGGGGAGGAGGGAGGGAAGCAGACCATTCAGTTAAATTAGCAGGAATCGTCATCTGTTGCCATGGCAACAGATAAACAAAGCAGGGGATTGTGGGGCGGGGGGGGGACCACTGTGATGGGGAAGGCCCCCTGAGAGGTGACTTTTTTTTGTAAAAATATACACAATAACACATACACCTGGTCAACAGTTTTTATATATACAGTTCATTGACGGTGGCTACACACATCACATCGCGTCTCCGTTCTATCTCTGCCCCTATGGCTTCACCATCATGAACTTCACCTCTCGGCCTCCTAAAGCCCTTGCCCCTGCTTTAGGGTTCCTGCTGGCATTTTGCTCTCACGTAGATAATTCTTCTTAAAGGGTGCAATGCTCCAG